AGGGTAATGTCTGAGGAAAACCTCTGTTTAAGCAAATATGGTGACAAGAAAAAATAATCTATTCTTGTATAGATATGGTGGACTGGAGAAAAGAAGGAATACTGTTTAGATGTGGGATGTTGAATTCTCCAGATGTCAAAGAGCCCATGGGCCCTGGTCCATTAGCGAAAGATGTTGGAATGTTTTGTAATCTGTTTGGAGGGTTGATGGCCTCAAAGCGATCTTCTATCCTTCGCAGGCGACGTCGTCAGATTGAAATTGCCTCTTACTATTACAAGGGCCTGAGATGAGTGTAGTAGGGGGGAGATAGATTTTTGGAGGAACCCCACCTGATTTGCATTAGGAGCGTATATATTAATTATAGTGAGGGGAGTGTTACCGTGCTGACAGTTTAACACTATAAATCTGCCTTGGGGATTCAAGATAGAGGATGATACTCGGATTGGCAGCTTTTCGTAATCAAGATGGCTACACCTGCTTTACCTAAGGTGCCTTTAGCAGAGTAGGTCAATGGAAAATGCTTAAGGGTGAATATGAACGTGCTTCCTTTTTTGAAGTGGGTCTCCTGAACCAGAACAGTATTTGCTTTGGAGTGTTTAAATTCCCTTCTGACCGCTTCTTTAGCAAATTCAAACCCTTTACGTTACAGGAATATAATAGACATAATGACTTAAACCAAAAGCAAAGCATCTGTATGTGCATCTTAAAAAGAGATATATACAGCTGAATGTAAAGATGGGGAGTGACATTGTGGCTATCAGTAATGAGTAGGCTGTAATAACAAGTAAACCATGCCATATCAACACAATACCCAAAACAGTGGTCAAGCGTGAGCGCAATGCCGCACTCCCAGTAGGCCAGGGTATAAAAAAAGATAACAAAAAACAGTCTAAAGTGAAAAAATTCTTGAAGGAATAAACTTGTCTTGAAAAATGCCAAGATCATGGGAGAGGCCTTGGTGTCTGCAGCCGGAGCTGCAGTGTAGTGGGGGCAGCATGGGAAGACAGGGATATAAGGGACCAACTCTATCCCTCCCTCCAGAGTGAAGCTTAACAAATTATAAAATGAAACCTGTTTAGATTCAAAGGGGAAGCCTTATCTGTCACAGTTGAAGGACAACTAGAGGACAGCAGAGGTATAAGAAGATACTATTGAAAATAGTCCAAATTAGTGATCTACATCAGCTGCAGTTCGTGCAGAAGCTTCAGGAGATGTAGGAAATCCATTGAGCAGGAGCGCTGAGGTACCGGGAGGCGTGTTCTATTTCTAGATTTTTGCAGGGTCCAGATCTTGCTTGGAGTTGTGATGGATCTTGGTTTAGGTATATACAAAGTAAAGGCCTCATCTGGAAGAGGGGGTAAACCTAGTGACTGTAGGAAAGCCTCTCCCTCCTGGAGATCTCTAATGATATGCTGTAAGCCTGCCTTGGTGACAGTGAGCTTGAATGGGAATCCCCATCTATAGGCCACACAGTGTTTCTGAAGGTGGAGAGTGATGGGTTTCAGTGCGTCTAGATAAGGTGATTGGCGACAGATCGCTGAAGAGTTGAAGTTTTGCTCCTCTGAAATCTACGGATGAAGTGCTGCGGGTGGAGTTTAACAAGGATTCCTTACTTTCGAAATAGTGGAATCTGATGATGATAGCACGTGGTCTGGCCCCCAAAAAAGGTTTAGGAGTGAGAGACCGGTGAGCTCTGCCTATACGCCAGTCTAGGTCTACGATAGCTGGGGCTAGAGAAATAAACAAGCTTCTGAGATAGTCATGGAGATCAGCTTATCCCACCGATTCTTGGACTATGCGTAAATTTTGCCTCCGCTCTCTATTTTCCAGGTCGTATGCGTAAATTTTGCCTCCGCTCTCTATTTTCCAGGTCCTCTTGCATATTCTGCACCTGAGATATCTGCTGCTTCATAGTGTGGTTGTTTTCTTCTAATACTTGCACGTATTGCACTAAGTCATCTACTTTGGTCTCAATAAGATCGGTTCGTGCTACAACCTGTGCAATTTCATCCCTGAGTTCCTGTGTTATTTTTTTTACTGCTGAAGAGATAGTGTGGGATAGATTTTGCAAAAGATCCTGTAGTTTGTCATCTAACATATCAGCAGTGAGATAGGGAGGGGGGGGGGGATGGAGACAGACCGTTAGAATGTGTTACCTCCTTCCTGTGGCCCAAGGGATTGTCCGGATCTACCGCTAGGGGGGCCGGATCACTTGAGGCCAGGGATGCGGCCCGTGACACAAAGCGATCCATGTGTGTAGGCCGCTGAAGCTTAACAGGTGACTGAGGGTGTTTTTGGTGTCTGATTTTACCCATCAGAATCTCTGGTAGGTGCCAGTGTAGCGGCAAGATGAGTATCCCCCATGAAGATGTATCTCCCTGACGCATCTGCGCATGTCACGGTTTTCTGCAGAAGTAGCTGATCGCCAACCACCTTCCATAGCACAGAACTGCCACAGTTAATCCTTTTTATGGTGCACTGCTGAGTACTCGCACCGCTGAAGCTGATCCCGCGGATCAATAGCCGACTCTCCCACAAGATGTATAGAAGCATCATGGAAAGGAAAGAGGTCGGATGCAGTAGCTCTGTGATCGCTTGATCGTCTCTGAAACCGTGACATGCGCAGATGCATCAGGGAGACACATCTTCATGGGGATACTCATCTTGCCGCTACACCAGTCCTGGTTCTGAAACTCCCTTGTAGATATGAGCTGATGAAAGCTCCAGAGGAGCAGGAAGAAGGGATGAAAAAGCGGAGCTGAGCTAAAGAGGGTCCGCCATCTCCCAGCCTCTCCATTATAAGCGTCTCATTTAGTCTCCACATTGCCCTTTTGTTCCCTCCTCCTCCCACCTTTAATCTCTCCGTAACAGGAGCATGGTCTGAGATAGACATAACTTCTATATTGGATTTAACCAATGAATCTAATTGTCTATGCTCAATCATAATATAATCCAACTGTGAGTACGATCTATGCGCCAGGGAGAAGAAGGTATAATCTCTTGCTCTGGGGTGTTTCACCCTCCATGCGTCCATTAACTGACTTTGGTGTAGCTTCTTTTTCAACATTCTTGATTTTTTACCTCCTCCTCTCTACGCATTCGAAGACATATGCATCCATGGATCAAGACAAAAATTTAAATCTCCTGCCAAGACCAGAATCCCCCTCTTAAACTCCATAATTTTCCCCAACACTCCATACACAAATACTTCTGGGTTTGAATTCGGGCAATAGATATTAACCAAGGTGTAGTTTTGTCCCCACATTTTCCCTCTTGAGCATAGAAACTGTCCCTCAGGGTCCACCAATCTCGCCTCCACATCAAAACCCACGTTCTTTGAGAACCCGATCGCTATTCCTTTAGCCCTCTTTATTGGTGAGTCCGCATAATACCCTCGTTCACATGATACTAAGGTCAACCTGTTGGGTAGTACCCTGAATGTAATTTGACCTTAGTATCCTGTGATAAATGTGTCTCTTGTAAGAACACAACGTCTGCGGAGAGTTGGTGAACTTCCCTAAGTATCTTATGTCTTTTGGTATGTCATTAAATTAATCAGGCTGTCTAGTATTGTCAGGGCTGGAGTGGTGGAATGGTCAGGCAGTCCTTATGGTAAGGTCACACACCGACTGGCGACAGCCTCTGGTGACCCACAGACCGGAGTCCCTCAGGGCGCGGAGTCTAAGCCCCAGGCTGCCCTTCACCAGGGCCCCTGATGGTGGGGATGGACTTGACGCAGCCTGAGACCAGGTCACGACCCCCGAGTAACCCCAGCTGCGGTACGGCTGCCGCCAATGGCATATAGCGGGTAGGGGCCAGATGGAAAGATGTATAGCGTGGTCGGACAGGCCGGGTCAATAACAGCGGAACATACAGTACAAGACGGTAGGCAAGAATACTCAGGTCACGGGCCGGGTTCAGCAACGGGAGGTCAGGTAATGGAATAAAGCAGAGAATGGTCAGAACGGGCCAAGGGTCAGAGCAAGAGTCTTTGTCAAAGCCGAGTCGGTTTCCAGGAGAGCAACGAGAGCTGAACAAGAGCTTGCTGCAATGCAACATACAGGACACGAATGAAAAGAACGGCTGCAACCGACAGACTTAAACGTGATAAGCCACACCCTCCTGGGAGGAGCTGCAGAGGATTGAGAGCATAAAGGATCCCACAATGCTTAGCAGACACCCAAGATGGATGCCAGCACATGGAGCCGCACAAACCCTGAGGAAAGGTAGGACCTTGACAAGTATTTGAGTTCTCTTTCTTGTTCAAAGGGAAAGTGGTATAGGTTACCCATCTCTTTCCCCAAAGGGAACAGGGGAGGTGTGGAGGAGCAGAGAGGGAGAAAAAAAAAAAAAAAAAGGGGAAGGAAAGAGGGGGACAAAAATTCATCCCTCAGAATCCCCTATCCCTCTCCTGCCTACCAACCCCCCCCCCCCCAATTCAGTCTATCTTCTCTTTTTATTCACTGGCTGCCACTTTTCTTTTTTTGACCTTACATTTTCACTTTCAGTAGACCCCTCCAGCCACCCCACAATTCCCACATTTTGCAGTTCTAATTTTTCATAAAAGTTCTTCTGGGAATCTTAGCCTTGCTGATTTCCAGTCTTTCCACCCGATCAGACATGCTGGGAAATCCCAATTATATTGAATTCTTTTTTCCCCTCACATGATCCAAAAATGGTTTCAACAATCTTCTTCTAGCTAAAGTCTCTGAGGCAATGTTTGCAAAAACTTATAGTTTCATTTCTCCAAATTTTAATTCTGGGATTTCCCGCAATTTTTTCCATATTTTTTCTGTCCTCGTAATGATGGAATCGGACAATCACGTCTCTGGCTGTGTCTGATGTTACTCCTGGTGGGCGTCTTAATTAGAGATGAGTGAATTATTCAAAAATTCAATTCGACTGATTCGGCGAATTCGTGAAAAAATTTTGATTCGAGTCGAATATATTCGCTGCGAATTTAACTTATAAAAGGGGTGTTTCTAGGCTTCAGAGAGCCTTTATATTAGTGCAGAACACTGTACCTTTAATTTAAATGCCCTTGGAGTCTGCTGGGGAAGAGAAATAATACTGACAGTCAGTATGACATGCAGATGAGTGCCGTCGATCTTAGAATCACCGCACACTTCACTCATTTGGGCAGTCACGGGGCCAAAACCAGAGTGTGGAGCCACAGTGTGGCGGTGGAGGCAGCAGCAATGGGAGGCCATACAGCACCCTATGACAAAAATGGAAACCACCAGCAGTGTGAGGAGACCTGAAAGTGGCACATGGCAGAGTGTGGCGATGGAGACAGCAGCAATGGGAGGCCGTACAGGGACCCATGACACACTCTGGACCTGGCAGCAGCATGAGGAGGCGGTACAGGGGCCCATGACAGATTACGGGCCTGGCAGCAGAATGAGGAGTTGGTACGGGGGCCCATGGCAGATTACGGGCCTGGCAGCAGCAATGGGGAGGCCGTACAGGGACCCATGACACACTCTGACCTGGCAGCAGCATGAGGAGGCGGTACAGGGGCCCATGACAGACTACGGGCCTGGCAGCAGCATGAGGAGTCGGTACGGGGGCCCATGGCAGATTACGGGCCTGGCAGCAGCAATGGGAGGCCCGTAATCTGCCAGCACCCTATGACAAAAAATGGAACACACCAGCAGTGTGTGAGGAGACCTGAAAGTGGCACATGGCAGAGAGTGTGGCGATGGAGACAGCAGCAATGGGAGGCCGTACAGGGACCCATGAGAGACTCTGGACCTGGCAGCAGCATGAGGAGGCGGTACAGGGGCCCATGGCAGATTAGGGGCCTGGCAGCAGCTATGGGAGGCCCGTAATCTGCCCAGCACCCTATGACAAAAAATGGAACACACCAGCAGTGTGAGGAGACCTGAAAGTGGCACATGGCAGAGTGTGGCGATGGAGACAGCAGCAATGGGAGGCCGTACAGGGACCCATGAGACACTGTGGACCTGGCAGCAGCATGAGGAGGCGGTACAGGGGCCCATGACAGATTACGGGCCTGGCAGCAGCATGAGGAGTCGGTACGGGGGGCCCATGACACACTCTGGACCTGGCAGCAGCATGAGGAGGAGGCGGGGTACAGGGGCGCATGACAGATTACGAGCCTGGCAGCAGCAACTTGGACAGGAGGACGTTCAGCTTCTGCACCGTCGGGTGCGTGCTCGCAAACTGTTGTCTCTTGGAAACGGATTCCAAGAAAGACTGCTGACGGAATCCGTGAAGAGGAGTAGCAGGAGAAGGAGCATCTGAACGAGCGGAATATGCCAACAAGCAACAACAGGGGCCCATGACAGATTACGGGCCTGGCAGCAGCATGAGGAGTCGGTACGGGGGCCCATGGCAGATTACGGGCCTGGCAGCAGCAATGGGAGGCCCGTAATCTGCCAGCACCCTATGACAAAATGGAACCCTGGGCTGGGGCAGGCAGAACCGCCGTATCTTTATCACGGTTTTCCCAGGCCACCGAATGGCGACGCTGCATATGCTGACGCAACGCTGTAGTCCCAACATGGGCCCCCTGGCCACGCTTGACTTTCTGGCCACATAGTCGACATACGGCTACGTTTACTCCCTCGGGCGGCTTGACGAAAAATTGCCACACCGCCGAGTAGGAAACTTTGCCCCCGCTACTCCTCACTGGCTGACTGCTACTTCCTCCGTGCACACCGGCACCACTACTGGCCGTGGTGGTAGGCTGCAGTGGAGCTGGTGTTCTACTCCGTGGCCGTTTGCCTCCACTGACACTGCTGCGACCCTGCTGTCTCCTGGCAGCAGCAATGGGAGGCCGTACAGGGACCCATGACACACTCTGGACCTGGCAGCAGCATGAAGAGGCGGTACAGGGGGCCCATGGCAGATTAGGGGCCTGGCAGCAGCAATGGGAGGCCCGTAATCTGCCAGCACCCTATGACAAAAAATGGAACACACCAGCAGTGTGTGAGGAGACCTGAAAGTGGCACATGGCAGAGTGTGGCGATGGAGACAGCAGCAATGGGAGGCCGTACAGGGACCCATGAGACTCTGGACCTGGCAGCAGCATGAGGAGGCGGTACAGGGGCCCATGGCAGATTACGGGCCTGGCAGCAGCAATGGGAGGCCCGTAATCTGCCAGCACCCTATGACAAAAATGGAACACACCAGCAGTGTGAGGAGACCTGAAAGTGGCACATGTTTGGGGCATGATTCATGGCGGATTTAGTCAGTTGTGTCAGGAACTGGTGGTTTGAAATCCAGACTAATCCACGCCTGATTCATTTTCACAAACGTGAGTCTCTCCACACTTTGGGTGGACAGTCGTGTCCTCCGCGGAGTTACAATACCTCCTGCCGCACTAAACACGCGCTCCGATGCCACGCTACTGACCGGGCATGACAGCCTTTCAATGGAAAATTCAGCTAGTTGGGGCCAAAGGTCAAGTTTCGTTGCCCAGTAGTCAAGGGGATTGTCTACCTCGGTTGGCAGGGTGCTGTCCAAGTAGGCCTAAGCCTGTTGTTTGAGGTCCTGCTCCAGGTCCACCTGATGCTGCTGCTGCTGCGGCTGGTTAGTAGTTTCCTCACTGCGCTGGTGAAGAAAGCTACTCATCATCGACTGCAGACTGAGGCAGCCGCTGCTGGTGGAGCTGCCACTGCTCCTACCACCCCACCCCTCCCCTGCTGCCATGGCAGCGGAACGCGAGCGCACAGGGCCCACAGTGTCTGCGGATGGACGTTGGCGCAGAAAGGCAGAGACCAGCTGACTACATAGGTGGTTTTTATAGTACGTTATTTTGGCCTCCCTCTCAGCAGGTGTGCATTCTCTCAGCACTATTTTTGCACGGTAGCGCCTGAGCACCAGAAGTGCAGGACAGAGAAGAAATCACTAAAAGTCACCCTTTTTATGAACTGTTATGTTTGTTTATTCATATGAATTACCATATATCTTGGGTCTGTAGCGCTACATTTTTGATTTATGATATTTTTAAGGTGTATGGTAACCTGATGTATGGCTGCTGCAATTAGGTGCGCTCGTATACATATTTTTTCTTACCAGGTGTGAAAAAGGCCACCATTTTTGAACGGTAGCCAGGGTCCAACAAGGTGGACAGCCCAAAAGTCATCCCTCTGTCTGATGGTTATTATTCGGCTGTCGCTACGCAAGCAAGCGAGCATGCTATGGGCCATTTGTGCCAAGGAATGCGAGGGACTCCCTGCCTCCATCTCCACAGCATACTGCCACGGTGCGTCTGGGTCCTCTGTCTCCTCCTCCTCCTCCTCTACCAGATGCTCCTGCTTCTCCACTCCTGTCCGCTGAGTGGAAAAACCACCCATTTCACTCAATAATTCCTGAGCACCAATGTCCTCCTCTACCTCCTCCTCTTCTTCCTGTCCTGCCCCCACAGGGGTCATGTGGCGTTGAGATCTGTGCGCCACGTCTACCGCAGCCTGACCAGCCATTGTTAACAGCATTTGTTCCAGGACGTGCAACAGAGGAATGACGTCGTTCATCCCATAGTCCTGCCGACTCACGAATAGCGTGGCCTCCTCAAAGGGCCTGAGCAAGCGCAGGTGTCACGCATGAGCTGCCAATGGCCGACATCTAAGTTACACACAGGGAGTACCTTTATCAGCTTGTAACATCAGGAAATCAGTGATGGCCTTTCGCTGTTCGTAAAAGGCGGTCTAACAAATGTAGGGTTGAATTCCACCTTGTTGCAACGTCACAGCATGAGGAGTCGGTACGGGGGCCCATGGCAGATTACGGGCCTGGCAGCAGCAATGGGAGGTCCGTAATCTGCCAGCACCCTATGACAAAAAATGGAACACACCAGCAGTGTGAGGAGACCTGAAAGTGGCACATGGCAGAGTGTGGCGATGGAGACAGCAGCAATGGGAGGCCGTACAGGGACCCATGAGAGACTCTGGACCTGGCAGCAGCATGAGGAGGCGGTACAGGGGCCCATGGCAGATTAGGGGCCTGGCAGCAGCTATGGGAGGCCCGTAATCTGCCAGCACCCTATGACAAAAAAATGGAACACACCAGCAGTGTGAGGAGACCTGAAAGTGGCACATGGCATGAGACACTGTGGACCTGGCAGCAGCATGAGGAGGCGGTACAGGGGGCCCATGGCAGATTAGGGGCCTGGCAGCAGCTATGGGAGGCCCGTAATCTGCCAGCACCCTATGACAAAAAATGGAACACACCAGCAGTGTGAGGAGACCTGAAAGTGGCACATGGCAGAGTGTGACGATGGAGACAGCAGCAATGGGAGGCAGTACAGGGACCCATGAGAGACTCTGGACCTGGCAGCAGCATGAGGAGGCGGTATAGGGGCCCATGGCAGATTAGGGGGGGCCTGGCAGCAGCTATGGGAGGCCCGTAATCTGCCAGCACCCTATGACAAAAAATGGAACACCAGCAGTGTGAGGAGACCTGAAAGTGGCACATGGCAGAGTGTGGCGATGGAGACAGCAGCAATGGGAGGCCGTACACAGGGACCCATGAGAGACTCTGGACCTGGCAGCAGCATGAGGAGGCGGTATAGGGGCCCATGGCAGATTAGGGGCCTGGCAGCAGCTATGGGAGGCCCGTAATCTGCCAGCACCCTATGACAAAAAATGGAACACACCAGCAGTGTGAGGAGACCTGAAAGACCTGAAGTGTGGCGATGGAGACAGCAGCAATGGGAGGCCGTACAGGGACCCATGAGAGACTGTGGACCTGGCAGCAGCATGAGGAGGCGGTACAGGGGCCCATGGCAGATTAGGGGCCTGGCAGCAGCTATGGGAGGCCCGTAATCTGCCAGCACCCTATGACAAAAAATGGAACACACCAGCAGTGTGAGGAGACCTGAAAGTGGCACATGGCAGAGTGTGGCGATGGAGACAGCAGCAATGGAGGCCGTACAGGGACCCATGAGAGACTCTGGACCTGGCAGCAGCATGAGGAGGCGGTATAGGGGCCCATGGCAGATTAGGGGCCTGGCAGCAGCTATGGGGGAGCCCGTAATCTGCCAGCACCCTATGACAAAAAATGGAACACACCAGCAGTGTGTGAGGAACCTGAAAGTGGCACATGGCAGAGTGTGGCGATGGAGACAGCAGCAATGGGAGGCCGTACAGGGACCCATGAGAGACTCTGGACCTGGCAGCAGCATGAGGAGGCGGTATAGGGGCCCATGGCAGATTAGGGGCCTGGCAGCAGCTATGGGAGGCCCGTAATCTGCCAGCACCCTATGACAAAAAATGTGAACACACCAGCAGTGTGAGGAGACCTGAAAGTGGCACATGGCAGAGTGTGGCGATGGTGGACCTGGCAGGGCAGCATGACCTGGAGCAGCATGTACAGGGGCCCATGGGCCCATGGCAGATTAGGGGCCTGGCAGCAGCTATGGGAGGCCCGTAATCTGCCAGCACCCTATGACAAAAAATGGAACACACCAGCAGTGTGAGGAGACCTGAAAGTGGCATGGCATGGCAGAGTGTGGCGAATGGACAGCAGCAATGGGAGGCCGTACAGGGACCCATGAGAGACTCTGGACCTGGCAGCAGCATGAGGAGGCGGTATAGGGGCCCATGGCAGATTAGGGGCCTGGCAGCAGCTATGGGAGGCCCGTAATCTGCCAGCACCCTATGACAAAAAATGGAACACACCAGCAGCAGTGTGAGGAGACCTGAAAGTGGCACATGGCAGAGTGAGTGTGGCGATGGAGACAGCAGCAATGGAGGCCGACAGGGACCCACAGCAGCAACCTGGCAGCAGGAGGAGGCGGTACAGGGACCCATGAGCAGATTAGGGGCCTGGCAGCAGCATGAGGAGGCCCGTAATCTGCCATCTGGGCCCTATGGCAAATTAGGGAACCTGGCAGCAGTATGAGGAGACCTGAATCTGCACAGCAGTGTGGCGATGGAGACAGCAGCAATGTGAGGAGCCTGACAGGGACCCATGGCATGAGACACTCTGGACCTGGCAGCAGCATGAGGAGGCGGTACAGGGGCCCATGGCAGATTAGGGGCCTGGCAGCAGCTATGGGGGCCCGTAATCTGCCAGCACCCTATGACAAAAAATGGAACACACCAGCAGTGTGAGGAGACCTGAAAGTGGCACATGGCAGAGTGTGGCGATGGTGTGGCGATGGAGACAGCAGCAATGGGAGGCCGTACAGGGACCCATGAGAGATTAGGGGCCTGGACCTGGCAGCAGCATGAGGAGGCGGTACAGGGGCCCATGGCAGATTAGGGGCCTGGCAGCAGCTATGGGAGGCCCGTAATCTGCCAGCACCCTATGACAAAAAATGAAACACACCAGCAGTGTGAGGAGACCTGAAAGTGGCACATGCCAGCAGTGTATGACGATGGAGACAGCAGCAGCAGTGTGAGGAGACCTAAGGGACATGGCCATGAGACACTCTGGACCTGGCAGCAGCATGAGGAGGCGGTATAGGGGCCCATGGCAGATTAGGGGCCTGGCAGCAGCTATGGGAGGCCCGTAATCTGCCAGCACCCTATGACAAAAAATGGAAACACACCAGCAGTGTGTGAGGAGACCTGAAAGTGGCACATGGCAGAGTGTGGCGATGGAGACAGCAGACAGCAGCAATGGAGGCCGTACAGGGACCCATGAGAGACTCTGGACCTGGCAGCAGCATGAGGAGGCGGTATAGGGGCCCATGGCAGATTAGGGGCCTGGCAGCAGCTATGGGAGGCCCGTAATCTGCCAGCACCCTATGACAAAAAATGGAACACACCAGCAGTGTGAGGAGACCTGAAAGTGGCACATGGCAGAGTGTGGCGATGGAGACAGCAGCAATGGGAGGCCGTACAGGGACCCATGAGAGACTCTGGACCTGGCAGCAGCATGAGGAGGCGGTATAGGGGCCCATGGCAGATAGGGGCCTGGCAGCAGCTATGGGAGGCCCGTAATCTGCCAGCACCCTATGACAAAAAATGGAACACACCAGCAGTGTGTGAGGAGACCTGAAAGTGGCACATGGCAGAGTGTGGCGATGGAGACAGCAGCAATGGGAGGCCGTACAGGGACCCATGAGAGACTCTGGACCTGGCAGCAGCATGAGGAGGCGGTATAAAGGGGCCCATGGCAGATTAGGGGCCTGGCAGCAGCTATGGGAGGCCCGTAATCTGCCAGCACCCTATGACAAAAAATGGAACACACCAGCAGTGTGAGGAGACCTGAAAGTGGCACATGGCAGAGAGTGTGGCGATGGAGACAGCAGCAATGGGAGGCCGTACAGGGACCCATGAGAGACTCTGGACCTGGCAGCAGCATGAGGAGGCGGTATAGGGGCCCATGGCAGATTAGGGGCCTGGCAGCAGCTATGGGAGGCCCGTAATCTGCCAGCACCCTATGACAAAAAATGGAACACACCAGCAGTGTGAGGAGACCTGAAAGTGGCACATGGCAGAGTGTGGCGATGGAGACAGCAGCAATGGGAGGCCGTACAGGGACCCATGAGAGAGACTCTGGACCTGGCAGCAGCATGAGGAGGCGGTATAGGGGCCCATGGCAGATTAGGGGCCTGGCAGCAGCTATGGGAGGCCCGTAATCTGCCAGCACCCTATGACAAAAAATGGAACACACCAGCAGTGTGAGGAGACCTGAAAGTGGCACATGGCAGAGTGTGGCGATGGAGACAGCAGCAATGGGAGGCCGTACAGGGACCCATGAGAGACTCTGGACCTGGCAGCAGCATGAGGAGGCGGTATAGGGGCCCATGGCAGATTAGGGGCCTGGCAGCAGCTATGGGAGGCCCGTAATCTGCCAGCACCCTATGACAAAAAATGGAACACACCAGCAGTGTGAGGAGACCTGAAAGTGGCACATGGCAGAGTGTGGCGATGGAGACAGCAGCATGGGAGGCCGTACACTGGGACCCATGCAGCAGCATGAGGAGGCGGTATAGGGGCCCATGGCAGATTAGGGGCCTGGCAGCAGCTATGGAGGCCCGTAATCTGCCAGCACCCTATGACAAAAAATGGAACACCCAGCAGTGTGAGGAGACCTGAAAGTGGCACATGGCAGAGTGTGGCGATGGAGACAGCCAATGGGAGCCACAGGGCATGAGAGACTCTGGACCTGGCAGCAGCATGAGGAGGCGGTATAGGGGCCCATGGCAGATTAGGGGCCTGGCAGCAGCTATGGGAGGCCCGTAATCTGCCAGCACCCTATTGACAAAAAATGGAACACACCAGCAGTGTGAGGAGACCTGAAAGTGGCACATGTTTGGGGCATGATTCATGGCGGATTTAGTCAGTTGTGTCAGGAACTGGTGGTTTGAAATCCAGACTAATCCACGCCTGATTCATTTTCACAAACGTGAGTCTCTCCACACTTTGGGTGGACAGTCGTGTCCTCCGCGGAGTTACAATACCTCCTGCCGCACTAAACACGCGCTCCGATGCCACGCTACTGGCCGGGCATGACAGCCTTTCAAGGGCAAATTCAGCTAGTTGGGGCCAAAGGTCAAGTTTCGTTGCCCAGTAGTCAAGGGGATTGTCTACCTCGGTTGGCAGGGTGCTGTCCAAGTAGGCCCAAGCCTGTTGTTTGAGGTCCTGCTCCAGGTCCACCTGATGCTGCTGCTGCTGCTGCGGCTGGTTAGTAGTTTCCTCACTGCGCTGGTGAAGAAAGCTACTCATCATCGACTGCAGACTGAGGCAGCCGCTGCTGGTGGAGCTGCCACTGCTCCTACCACCCCACCCCTCCCCTGCTGCCATGGCAGCGGAACGCGAGCGCACAGGGCCCACAGTGTCTGAGGATGGACGTTGGCGCAGAAAGGCAGAGACCAACTGACTACATAGGTGGTTTTTATAGTACGTTATTTTGGCCTCCCTCTCAGCAGGTGTGAAAAAGGCCACCATTTTTGAACGGTAGCGAGGGTCCAACAAGGTGGACAGCCAAAAGTCATCCCTCTGTCTGATGGTTATTATTCGTCTGTCGCTACGCAAGCAACCGAGCATGCTATGGGCCATTTGTGCCAAGGAATGCGAGGGACTCCCTGCCTCCATCTCCACAGCATACTGCCACGGTGCGTCTGGGTCCTCTGTCTCCTCCTCCTCCTCCTCTACCAGATGCTCCTGCTCCTCCACTCCTGTCCGCTGAGTGGAAAAACCACCCATTTCACTCAATAATTCCTGAGCACAAATGTCCTCCTCTACCTCCTCCTCTTCTTCCTCCTGTCCTGCCCCCACAGGGGTCATGTGGCGTTGAGATCTGTGCGCCACGTCTCTACCGCACCCTGACCAGCCATTGTTAACAGCATTTGTTCCAGGACGTGCAACAGAGGAATGACGTCGTTCATCCCATAGTCCTGCCGACTCACGAATAGCGTGGCCTCCTCAAAGGGCCTGAGCAAGCGGCAGGTGTCACGCATGAGCTGCCAATGGCTGACATCGAAGTTACACAGGGGAGTACCTTTATCCGCTTGTAACATCAGGAAATCGGTGATGGCCTTTCGCTGTTCGTAAAGGCGGTCTAACATGTGTAGGGTTGAATTCCACCTTGTTGCAACGTCGCAGATCAGGCGATGCTGTGGAATTCCGTTCTGCCGCTGCAGCTCAAGGAGGGTGTGCTTTGCGGTGTAGGAATGGCTGAAATGCATGCAAAGTTTACGTGACATTTTAAGGATGTCTTGCAGTGGGATGGTGGATTTTAGGACCGCTTGACAACCAGATTGAACACGTGAGCCATGCATGGCGCATGGCACAACCTTCCTTGACGCAGAGCAGACACCATGTTCTTTCCGTTGTCGGTCAACATGGTTCCGATTTTCAGTTTGCGCGGAGACAGCCATCTGTCGATTTCTCTGTTCATTACACTGAGAAGTTCCTCCCCTGTGTGACTACGTTCGCCAAGGCATACCAGGTGCAGCACAGCGTGACACCGTTGCGCCCTGCACATGTGATATGCCGGTCGGGTAATGGGACTTGGCACGGGGGGGTGGCGGCTGAGGACACGGCGGAAGAAGAGGTGGTAGAGGCGGACATCTTTTGCCGGACCAAGGACGTGCAAACGTGGAGGCAAAAGCGGCGTGACCTGTCCAAGTTGCTGGTGCGGCTGTGACGGCACCACGTTCACCCAGTGGGCCGTAAATGACATGTACTGTCCCTGACCGTAGTTACAGCTCCACACCGCGCTCGCGCTGCCGTGCACTTTGGCAGAGACCGACATGCTCAAAGACTGGCCCACCATCTCTTCTACATGTGAATGCAGGGCTGGCACTGCCTTTTTGGCGAAGAAATGACGGCTTGGCACTCTCCACCGCGGCGCGGCACAAGCCATCATTTCTCGGAAAGGTGCTGAGTCCACCACTTGGAAAGGGAGGGACTGCAGCACCAGCAACTTGGAGGAGGACGTTCAGCTTTTGCACCGTCGGGTGCGTGCTCGCAAACTGTTGTCTCTTGGAAACGGATTCCAAGAAAGACTGCTGACGGAATCCGTGAAGAGGAGTAGCAGGAGAAGGAGCATCTGAACGAGCGGAAGATGCCAACGAGCGACAACTCCCCTCAGCAGAGAGGTGTTGGAGCCTTGACTGGCTGATAGAGGGCGATTGACGTCGGGTGACGGAGCAAGTAACGGAGCGGGTGATGGAGAGCGGGGGCTGGGGGGCAGAACCGCCGTATCTTTATCACGGTTTTCCCAGGCCACCAAATGGCGACGCTGCATATGCTGCCGCAACGCTGTAGTCCCAACATGGGCCCCCTGGCCACGCTTGACTTTCTGGCCACATAGTCGACATACGGCTACGTTTACTTCCTCGGGCGGCTTGACAAAAAATTGCCACACCGCCGAGTAGGAAACTTTGCCCCCGATACTCCTCACTGGCTGACTGCTGCTTCCTCCGTGCACACCGGCACCACTACTGGCCGTGGTGGTAGGCTGCAGTGGAGCTGGTGCTGTACTCCGTGGCCGTTTGCCTCCACTGACACTGCTGCGACCCTGCTGCCTCCTGGGCAACCCACCGACTGTTTTGCTCGCTGCCAAGCTGCCACCCTCTTCTCCTGATGATGCGGAAGCAATAGCCTGATGACGACGAGGCTGCCAAGTGCGATCAGCCTCATCATCATCAATTAGGGTCTCCGCCTCACTACTAGCCCCCTCGCTGCGTGTGGGTCAGGAGACAGACCTGTCTCTAGACCGGCTACCGAGCCACTCTCCTCGCCACTACTTCTTCGCCTGGCTGCTGAAGAGGCGGATGTCTCCCCCCGTTCCTGACCGCCCTCTGTTAGCTCTTCCTCACTGTACAGTGGGGCTGAGCCCACAGCATGCGATACTTCGCTTGGTGAGGGAACACCAAAGGACAGGGGCAGGTAGAGGACACGTGATTTCAGTGGGCTTGCTCCCGGGCCATGCCAACTAACGGTTGTGTCTGACGTACCCACCGACCGTTGGCTGTAGGTGTCAGAGGTGACCTGGGAAGAGGAAGACGACCGAGCCAACCAATCGATGACGGCAGGGTTGTCGGTGGAGACACGACCGCTGGATGACACCGGGAGCACTGGCCTCTGGCTGCGACTAGTGCTGCCTCGACCCCTTCCTCTGCTGCCACGTCTGCTCGCTCCTAAAACATTGCCTCCTCTGCCACTCCTCTGCATGTTGTCTGACATACTCTTTAATTAAACGATTCTGTGTCCCTGAGTAACAATTCTGTGTCTGTCCCTGAGTAACAATTCTGTGTCCCTGAGTAACAATTCTGTGTCCCTGAGTAACAATTCTGTGTCCCTCAGTAACAATTCTGTGTGTCCCTCAGTAACAATTCTGTGTCCCTCAGTAACAATTCTGTGTCCCTCAGTAACAATTCTGTGTCCCTGAGTAACAATTCTGTGTCCCTGAGTAACAATTCTGTGT